TTATCAGACCCTCATCTTGGAGATTGAGAGTACCCATCGGGAGGAGAAGAGGATGAGAGTCTATAAGAAGACGGAGTCGAAGTACAGAGAGTACCGTACCAAACACAAAGCCCTGGTCCGTATGCTCGGTGAGGACGCTCTGTTTCCAACTCTCCGTGACGATCTGAGGCAGAAGAACGAGGAGTTGAAGGTGAAGGATGACGAGTTGAAGGAGAAAGACAACGAGCTTATGAGGATTATTGGCAGGTATAGTGAGCTTGAGTAGATGTTAATGGCCAAGAACGATAAGCTCAAGGTGAGCAAGTGGGTCATGGCCGAGTGCGTCGATATCCAAGCTCAGGTGACGTCTTTATGGACCGAGCATGAGCAGAGTGCAATTGTTGTTATCGGCTTAAGGGACGAGCTGGCTGCCAAAGCTGCGGAGTTGGAGCGAGTTGAGAGATCTAGATAGGCTGCTTTGGCGGAGGCGGTGGCATTGGCGGGTACCCTTCGCGTCTTCGGTTTAGAGCATGCTAGTGAGGCAGAGACCTTTGCTCTCAAAGAAGCGAGGCTCGAAGAGCAAATTGGCGAACTGGAAGGAGATATTCAGGATTTGAACGAGCAGGTAACTGTCCTTAAGGCCGAGAAAACACAACAACAGGCCCAGCCGTCTACCTCCCATGCTTCCACTTACCCCAATGTACCAAAAGACTTGAACGAGAAGTGGGTCCATACTGAGGCTCATCTTGACATATTCAGAGGTTTGACGGTGGCCTGGAAAGACTCTGAGGTAGAGTTTGAGGATGCTTATGTTAAAGCACGTGCAACTCGTGTCGCGGCTATGACCCCGGTACGCCCGGAGTGGATGATGATGAGGAAGATGTGGACGAGATTGAGCCAGATGCTTGGTATGAAGATGAGTACTTGGATGGTGAGGGTGGAGATGGTGCTGCTGAATCGGGCAGCGAAGGTGGCAACAGAGATGATGCAGTGTAGTTTTCTTGTACTTAGTTTTTTCTACTCTTTTTCTTCTCTTTTTTTTGGAGGGGGTCTCTTTGGCCCTTTGTAAGATACTCTATTTTGGAATGGAATGACTTGTCTTTTTGCTGTATGTTTTGGCTCTTTTTGTTTTTCTTCGTATGTTTTTTCCTTTGCAAGAGTTCTTAACTTAGTTGATGTGACTGGGGTCAGATGTCGATTACTTTTGAGTGAGGTCGAACGCTAGTTGATTCGAACAAGGTCGAATGTTAATAAATTTTGGATGAAGTTGAATATTAATGAATTCAAACGGAGTCGAATGTGAGTCGATTCGAGCGAAGTCGAATGTGAGTCAATTCGAACGCGGTCGAATGTTTGACCCTTTAAGTTATTCGAACGAGGTCGAATTTGAGTTGATTTGAGCGAGGTCGAATGTAGATAAATCTTAGCGAGGTTGAATGCCTGACTCTTTAAATGATTCGAACGAGGTCAAATGTAAATAAATTCGAGCGAGGTCAAATGTAGATAAATTCGAGCGAGATCAAATGTGAGTCGATTCCAACGAGGTCGAATGTCTGACTCTTTAAATGATTCGAGTGAGGTCGAATGTGAGTCGATTCGAACGAGGTCGAATGTCTGACTCTTTAAATGATTCGAACGAGGTTGAATGTAAATAAATTCGATCGAGGTGAATTGGTTAATTATAAATCAAAGTAGTATTCGTGCTAGTGAAGAAGAATATGAAATTGTAGTGAAATGGTTGCTTTGTTTCAAAAAAGATAAAATTCAAAGTTTCCCCGCATTAAACCCGCAATCCGCCCCACTTTAAAAATTTTAAAATTATTTTAGCCCGCCTTGCCCCGCCCCGAACTCGCATAAGAGTAAACCGCCCTGCCCCGCATCAAACAAAATTCGCCCCCGCACCTGCCCGTCCAATTGCCATCCCTAATTGAGGCTCGATTTCAAATATTAATAACTAAATTGGTTCAAGGAAAAAAGGCACGGGCAACAATTTAGACCATCGTCCCAAAGTCATTTGCAAGAACATTGCATTACAAAAGTATAAAGTACTTTTACCATGTTCAAGGTCTCATTTATATCATCATCATGGATTTAAAAAATCAAGTATCGATACACTTATTATTTTTACCGCTTTCTCTTCTCTCCCTCACTCTCAAACTAATTATATTGATGCAACAAAGCAAGCTTAGGAATGAATCTAATGGGATTTAGAATTTTAGCACTAGTATGATTCGCTTCGGCCGTGTAATTAGTGTCAATGATGATCTTTTCATTTCTCACCAATTTCATGATCTTCTCCTTTAAGACGAAGCATCTTGCTATATTGCGACTGACGCTTAATCAGGTCGCCTCATCATACTTAGTTGATAAAAGGTTAGGTATTTGTATACGGTAGAAATTGGGGCTACCCGATTTCGTGAGCTCGAGGATCACTTCGAGAGCGAGAAATCGAAATACACCAGGAGCGAGCCTGATGGGAGGCTTCGAAGATCAAAGTATCCGATGAACATCGAGCCGAACGTGACCGACATCGAGATAATGTCATTACGAGTAGGGGTGTCAATGGTTCGGTTCGGCCGGTTATGTTATAAAATTTGTACCATATCAATTTTTCGGCTATTCTATTATGTATAATCAAAATTAGACTTTTCGAAACCGTCCCAATCATGTCGGTTTCTCTTCGGTATCGGTACGGTTCAGTTAATTTTTGGTAATTTTTTTAATATCATGTAAAATTCACCAGTAGAAGTAGAATGCAATAACATACATTCTTTTATAGGACTTAACAAAACTCTCTAGATATTTTTATTTTTAAAGGGTGATGAATTAAAAAAAAAGATGGCTAGAGTATAGATCCATCAACTATTCTACAACAACGTAAAAGAAATCAAACAAAGGCAAAGAAAATATAAATCACACGAGTTGAAAGATATACCAAGCTGGGACTCAAGAATAAAGTCTATAGAAGATTAAATATTCAAAAAGATAAATCTAAATTATATGAAAGGAAACATATTCAATACATTGTAGTTTGCTACTCATAATCGCTAGAATACTTTGTGTCTTGCTAATAAAGATACCTGAAATAACTTAGTTTAAGTAGAAGTAGCATAATAGGTTTTAGGAATTAGTATTTTGAGTTTAATTACTTGTTGGCTTGTAATAGTTTTCATAATTCCAAGTCCCAAAGAAAATTTAATGCATTATTATTTTTAAACTTACTAATAAATATATTTTCTACATGTAAAATTTATTCGGTACGGTTCGGTATTTTTCGGTTTATTTTTATAAAATAAAAAACCTACCCTAATTATCAGTGCGGTTATAGATTTATATAAAAACCTACGGTTTCTTAAAAAGAAACCTAAAAATCGGTTCGGTGCAGTACGGTTCGGTCGGTTTAGTCGATTTTCGAATATCCATTGACACCCCTAGTTACGAGTTTGTAATAGAATGGGTAAGATTCCTGCCATGTCCAAATCATGGCATAAATCTCGGGACAAACTTGTACTAATCCGTACTAGGCGGTTAGACAACTGTCTTAATAAGATTCTTTACTGTAAATAGAAATGTACCTTGTTCAGGGTTCCCCCATTATGTAAAGGGGACCCCAATCATTTGTAAAAATCATCTAATCATCGGCATAGAATATACTATCTCACTCTTTCGCTCATTGTTCATCAGAGTTGTCTTTTAGCTTTATTATTCTTCCTTTATTGCTCTTAACCCACCTCGAGCTCACTAGGCTCGAGGTCGACACTGCTTAAGCTACACTAGTTTGACTTATTTATTTTCTTCATCTACACTTCATAATTCTTGATTATTAATTGGTATTGAACTAAATTACGTATCTTTAAAACCACAAATCAGATTTAATTGTTACTCGTATTTTTGAGGTAAACAATATTTACCGGTAGTTGTGCTTAACCAGATCCAAAAGAAGAGAGGACACACACTGTTCGGGTGAGTGAAAGACGAGGAAATGACAATCCAATGTCTCCTGGGGGCGTCGCGCGTCGACTTCGAGTACGTATACACTCGGTACCCAGCTTCCCACTTGGACTAGACCAAAAAGAAAGAACACAAACCGAACTGCCTACACCAGCGTGAGAGATTATTTTGAATCCTTACTTTTTAATTATAAAAATTTTGTTACCAAGAAAATAAAATATTTACAAGTAAGAAAAAAAACCTAAAGTTCGACAGAGGGCCCCAACTTTAGTAATGAAGAAACTAGCAAATTGTCGATTAACCAAACCTTTAATTAAAGAAAAACTATCTCCTCTATACGTTATCAACTATGCCTACTGCTAAGGATAGAAATTGAGCATCACCATTTGCTTTTTCATTTCCAACACATTCTACATATCGACTTCTCCAGTAATGATACACATAAGGAGGTCAAACAAAAATCATAAAATATACGAGAATGAGAGTTATAATAGTCTTCCGACCTAACAAAATTTAGGTGGCTAACTTGAAATTACTCAAATTTTGAATTTTTCCATAAATTTTAAATTTTTTCTTTTTGTCTAAAAAGATTTCAAATGCGAAATAAATCTTCATCCATGCCGTGTAACAACTTAACTGTGTCGTTACATTTTCCGCCTTTCCCACTTCTGATTTGACGGCGGATTCTCAAAATTGACCTTAGGTCAACCTTTTAGAAAGAAAAAAAAACCTCTCCCAAAATACAGAACACAATCTCGCGAAAAAATCGGTAAGAACATATCGTACTAATAACTCGCGTGGATATGGCAAGAAAGATCAAATCACCACCAACAAAGTGGATTTCAGAATCTCAGCAGTATTGCTCCCTTATATTAATTTAAAAAGTAGATTTCACCAGATTTGATTTTCAACACTCTGTTTTTCTCTCTGTGGTCTCTTTATTTACATTTACTTATATTTTTAGAAAGTAAATATTTTTTTCTTAAAAAAAAGACAAGGACGTGTATATTGTGTACATACATGAACAAGACAGACATTTATATTACACACACACTCCTCTCTCTCTTTTTATGTTCTGTGTTTCCCTGTTTTTCTTCTTAGCTAAAAAAAAGTTGAGAGCTTTACAATTTTTCCCACTTTTTTTTCAAGAAAATTTGTGGGTTTTTTCTTCTTTAGCTATAAAATTTGTGGGTTTTATTCCATTTTTGTTAAAGTTGAGATGGCAAGAAACGGCGTGTTTTCACGGCGGCGAAGGGCGGAGAGAGTGGAGGAGTTTGAAGAGTTGTTGCCGTTAACGGAGTCAACTAACGAAGTTCATGTTCTTGCTGTTGATGATAGTCTTGTGGACAGAATAGTAATTGAAAGGCTCCTCAAAATTACATCTTGCAAAGGTAAATTTTCTTTAACTGATATTGAGCTGAATTTGGTTCTTTTTATGAAAATTTGAGATTTTTATTAATGGTGTTTTGTTGAAATTGTACAGTGACTACAGTGGATAGTGGGATGAGAGCTTTGAAATATCTTGGATTGGATGAAGAACAGAGCTCTGTTAGAATTGATGTAAGCAAATTTTATTGTTTTTGGGTTTTTTTTTGCTGTGATTCTTTTTTTTAATGGATTTTGATTTGTTTTCTGTTGGTTTAATGTTTTAGGGTTTGAAGGTGGATCTGATAATTACAGATTATTGTATGCCTGGAATGACTGGCTATGATTTGCTCAAAAAGATTAAGGTCCTCTTTTTTACTCTCTTTTTGTTGTTATATTTATTTATTTTCCTTGAAATATTAATATTTGAGTTTCTTATAGGAAATTTAATCAATGTACTTAAGTTTCCAAATTTATAATTGTCAACAGGGTTCATCTTTTAGAGAAATTCCAGTTGTGATCATGTCTTCTGAAAATGTTTTGACTAGAATTGACAGGTATTTTCAAAATCCTTGCTGCTGGATTTCCTACTTATTTAATCCTTTCTGCCTTTATTTTCTGTTTTGGTTAATGAATTTATAGAAGAGAATAAATGAAAATATTGAATATATTTTTGCTTTTTGCTTGGAATCTGGTGTGGGATAATATTTATAGATTTAATAGCTATCTTAAAATGAGTGTCATCGAGCAATACTAATTCAGCACGGTAAATACTTAGTTGCACCCGGTGTTTATACCAATCCAAATATATGACACTTAACACATTCACTCTTTTCCTAAGTCATAGTTAATTAGTACTCATTACCACCTTAATTTATGGCTTAACCATGATATATCAATATGATTTGGTATAAACATCAGGTGCAGATAAGTGTTTACCATTCACCACCAAGGGGTGTGGGGGGATGGTTAGATCCCTTCACTCTTAACAGAGTTCTCAGGTTCAAACTCTGAGAATGTTGAACTTCTCGAAAGGGTGCGTTTTACCCCATTGTGGGCTTGTCCAATGTGAATCTAAATTAATCAGGCTAGTAGGCTTCCAATACGGGATGGTTAACCCAAAAAAGAAGGCAGAATTAATTCCATTGCATTTAAATAGAGAAAAAAAAAGAGGTTAAGAACTTTCATCTCTTGTTACCCATGTTCTTCCCACCCCCTAAAAAAATAAGGAAAATCTCATTGACAACCTAAAGCTATCTTCCAATTAATTTAAGAAAGAATAATGGAGGAAGTACCATTGACAACCTAAAGCCATCTTCCCAATTAAATTAAGATAGAATCATATCTTTACGTATCGTTTGTTCATGTGCTTTGAAGATATGTTAGATTGTTTAATTAATCGATTGTGATAAAAAAAAGGTTTTGACTTGCATTTTTAGGAAGCTGTGATCAGTTATTGTTATTGAACAACTAGTTTCTTGCATGACCAAAAGCAATGAATGAACAACCACTTCATTAGTTTAATATCTTATAACAAAATAAGAGTAGTTGGACACATGCTTTACAATATCATAATCCAGAGCATCTCATTTTCTGTTTCTTTAACAGTTGTATTTTTTGTTTAGTAATATAAAGAGGAATGCATGATCTTTTTCTAGTAAAGATTAGATTAGCAATGTAAGCAATTTTGGTATTGCCACTAATAAATGTCAATGCATAAAGCTTCTTTTGAATGTCACATTGTAAAAGCTGTGGCTTAAAATATTGTTTATTGGGAAGAAATGCCTACCAGAAACAGATATGGAAAAAGCTGTTTTCTCTTTTAGTTAAATTAGTTTACTAATCTTAAAACAAGAATCACTTCTCAGGGCTATGATAATGTCATTTTGGAATGCATATTTTAGAATTTTGTAGCAGAAAAAGATTACGTATAATAGATCCTTGTGGTTCAGACTTCAGCCCTTCTCCGTACCCCACAAATAGCGGGAGCTTAGTATACTGGACTGCTTTTATTTTAGAAGTTTGTAGTGAGTCATTCTATTGATTACTAATACTGATGTTATTAACAGATGTTTGGAAGAAGGTGCCGAAGATTTCCTATTGAAACCAGTGAAATTGTCGGATGTAAAACGTTTGAAGAGTTACATGTTCAACGAGGATCGATTTAGGGAAGAAGAAAAAGGAATGAACAAGAGAAAGTTGCCGGAAACATCGTCCGATGAGTCATCAACCCCAACTCTCTCACCTTCACCGTCAATGTCACCATCACCATCGCCCTCGCCATCGCTTGATCTCTCATCAACCCCTTCACCGCCATCCACTTCATCTCCTTCATCTCCCAAAGCACTTTCGTCGTCCCTCTCTATTGATTCATCGACACATTCCACCGATTCTTCCATGCCCTCTTCGCCAACATCACCAACAAGACGACTCAAAATGAGCAGCCAAGATTTGTGACGATATGCCATATATGTACTTTCCTTTCTTTTTTGCTACTTGTGGGGTTCGCGACGCCCCCTCCGTCGTTGGGGCACACCGTGTAGATAAGCCAATTGCCCCTTACTAGTGAGGTTTTTTTGTTGGCTTGTCACTTTTGGGACACAAATCAATGATATTGTTTAATCACACAAGGTTTACAAAAGAATGACTAAGGAAAAGTTGATTTAAACACTATTGAATCAACATTTTCTGGTGTTGGTGAATTGTCTGAATTTAATCTCTTACCTATTTTACTTTTAATGTATTTGGCAGTAGTATTAATGTATCCAATTCAATGACAGATTCAGAATGGTTGGAATTGAATAATGGGATATGGATTGGGTAAAAATGATTCTGATACGATCTTTATTAAATGTCAATTCTTGTCTGCTAAAAGGAATATTGGATTCTGAGTTNGAGAAATTTCTGCGGTCAATTGGTGCATAGTTCTAAAGTCTATGTACAATAAGTTCTTTTTTTTGTTTTTTTTACTCCACTTAAATATTTTGAAGTTTTGTGGCTCGGAAGTTGGACAATCAACTCGACTTAAATATCAGGTTTTTGGTTTGAAATTACGCATTGTGTTGTTTTAGATTTCTTTTTTTAATTTTTTAGGTCAATCGGTGCATAGTCCGAAAGTCAATGGATAATATATTTATTTATATATATACTTGCTTCACTTAAATATTAAGTTTTTGGTTTGAAATTCGATGAACATTGAACTTGTAGCTCCACTTAAATAACAGATTTTGGTTTAAAATCTGAAAAATCCATCAAACTAAACTTGTAATATGCTCGTACTATCCAACAGTATGTCTTCTTAACTATCGAAAAAGTGAAAGAAACAAATACCTATGAACAAGGGGAGGATTACACTCATGATGTAAATAGGCTAAAACTTCAGCTCTAGAGCTGAAGTTCGCCAGTTACAAGCAAAAACTTCAGCTCTAGAGCTGAAGTTCGTCAGTTACAAAACAAAGACTTCAGCTCTCACCAGTTACAAAAACAAAAACTTCAGCTCTAGAGTTGAAGTTCGCCAGTTACAAAACAAATACTTCAGCTCTAGAGCTGAAGTTCGCCAGTTACAAAAACAAAAACTTCAGTCCCGTCTACTAGAATGCTGAAGTTTTGCGTGATTGCCTTTGCTACTTCAGCCCTATATGCTGAAGTTACGAAAAAAAGTGGGTACATTTGCAATTTTTTTGATAAAGCGAGCACAAATTAAAACGTGACCAAAAAAGTAAGTATAGATGCAAATGGGCGGCTCGAGAGCCAATCAAATAAGCATTGCTTTAGGCCCCTATGCACTTGGGGCCCCAAAAATTGGTAGTAATGAATCTTTTAGCTTAAGTTTTGTCAAATAAGAAAATCAAAGCACATTAAATAACTTGAATTGTAATTCTATTTCATTTTTTTGAAAGATTTTAAGCATTAAAGTAAACAAAGTTAAATTGATTTATTTTGATATCAATTGTCAAAAATCAAAACTATCAACTTCTAGAATTAAATTACTCCAATATTGTTATAATATTTTTTTATATGATAGCATTATTACCTGTATGCTTATTTCTAGGTATATATTATGTTTTTATTATATACTATAATTTAAATATGTCAACTAAAAAAACTGAATCACTTCAAAGCTAAAAAAAGAGAGAGAAGAATTGAAACTTGATATATTTTCAAAAGGTTTTCTTGATAGTCTTAACAAACAATAAAAAAATTGACAATAATTGCAAGAAGAAGAAGAAAAATTAAATGGATTAATCTTATTATTAATTGAAAAGGCTTATTAGAAGATTTCGATTATAAAGGATTAATTAATAACTATGTGTCCAAAAAAAAAAATTAGCTAAATACATTTGAAATTTCATTAAAAAGGATTAGGCCTCATAAATAATTTTGGCTTTAGGCCACTACTGTAGTTGAGCCGCCCCTAAATTTATTTATACAGGAGCAACTATCCCTCAATCTCAGTTTAGATCCCAATTTAGTTGAGGTCTAATATATGAGTTTTCACTATATATGTCTCTTTATCTTTAAAAAATTTAGGTTCTTTAGAACTAGAATTTTTCTATATTTTAAATTGACAATGACACTACTTAGTTAACCTTTTTTTGAAAAAAAAATAATCTAAGATTGCAAGGTTTAATTTGGCTAACATTTTCTATCTAAACTGGTGAGGTTTAGGTCAAATAGTTGGATTAAGGCGCTACAAGAGAGAAATTTTCACTGGTTTAAATTTCTTTACTATAATATTTGATTCTTTTTCCTTCTACTTTTAACAGGCAGCATTGAAATACTTTAGCTAATACCTCAATAAATAAATAAAGATTTTATGTGATTTGAATCAAGTGGGGATTTTTTTTGTGGGTAACTAAACATTTTATTTACCAAGTATAATAGATACAGCTCAAAATCAAAGATCAAAACTGCAGCCTTGGTCATACAGCCCCAAGCCAGCAAACATCTGTTTGCAACTAATTTCAACATATGAAAAATAAATTACAATCACAAAACAAGAGAAAAATATTTTTACTAATCAATTGTGAGTACAATTCTGTTTCTTCCTTGATTTTTCTCTTCTGATTATCTCCGTGATTCGAGGGCTGAAGCAGTGTATTTCTCGAATGTAGGATGATGTAGACCTCCTGGGATGTATTTGATCTCCAGCTTCTTGAACTATTTAATTGTCAAGAAGTATCCGACCATATTTTGATCTCTTTGTGAATATCCCAAGAGTTTATGAGATTTTGAGACACCTCTTCAAGAGAATATGTATCCCTTTATATATGTGTGAGTTAGGGTTTAGGATAGAGTAACCTCCAAGAAACCCTAATAGAATTCTAGGATTTCAAGAGTCCTAGTAGTATCTTTAATTTAGGATTTGGCTTGATCCCTTAAAATTTTGATATCTACAAATGCCCCATACTTCAAGGTTTGTTGGGGTGTAGGCTTGCCGAAACTTTAAGATGAGACTTGAAGTACTCCATCATCGCAATAAATGATTTTGAAACTTGAATTTTTCAATTTACAAGAGGAAGAGATGAAGGGCAAAATTGGTCCCACTGGGCGTGCCAATTTGCTTGCAACTAATTATTTTCAACATATAATAAACTGCAATCATAAAACAAGAGAAAAATATTTTTACTAATCAATTGTGAGTTTCTCCCTTGATTCTTTTCTCCTGATTATCTCCGTGATTCGAGAGCTGAAGCAACATATTTCTCGAATGTAGGATGATGTAGACCTCCTGGGGTGTATTTGATCTCCAGCTTCTTGAACTATTTGATTGTCAAGAAGTATCCGACCATATTTTGATCTCTTTGTGAATATCCCAAGAGTTTATGGCATTTTGAGACACCTCTTCAAGAAAATATGTATCCCTTTATATAAGTGTGAGTTAGGGTTTAGGGTAGAGTAACCTCCAAAAAACCCTAATAGACTCCTAGGATTTCAAGAGTCCTAGTAGTATTTTTAGTTTAGGATTTGACTTGATCCTTTAAAATTTTGATATCTACAACATCACTATATCTCCTACTCGCTAAAACAAACTAAGGGTAAAAACTAAGACTATCAAACCTCCTATTCAATATAGGTACCCTCGCGCCTCTACAGTGAACTTTTTGGATGACTTGCCTTATCATCATCTCAGTAGGTCTACACTTGTTCAACAGTCTTATATTCCTCTCATGCCATATACAGTATAGACATCAAGCCAATGTCAGTCTATATAGGATTGCATCAGTAAATTTCTCTTGTCCATATCTCACAGCCCAATCAAGCTCCTTCTGCCACCCTATGGATTTTCTAGAAATCCCTTGCCACATCAAATCCTCTCCCAAATGGTAGCAGAGTAATAGCAATGAAAAAATAAGTGATCAATAGATTCATCTTTATTATTGCACAGAGGATATTTTAAGTCATCAATAGGCCTCCACTTTGCGACCTTATCTTTGGTGAGTAGTCTTCTATGAACAACAATGTAAAGAATGAAAATCCACCTTGGTGACCCAGGGTTGTTACAAATTAGTCTCTTCCAATCGACTTTTTGGAAGTCCTCCTAATCTTGCAATACACTTCTTTTGTGGAGAAAGTAACCATTTGTGTTACCTCATCTTAAGTATATCCAGCTTGTTCAAATGCTGCTTTTGCATGTAAAATCTTTTTCACCACCCATGAAGCTTTATCAACTTTTGCATCCCATATCCTACCCTGGTTGATATAGTAGGCGTAAACCCATCGAATCCAAAGCTTGTCCTTTTTCCTACACAAATTCCATAAATGTTTGCATATGGCAGCTTTATTCCAAGCATATATATCAAGTAGTCCTAGCCCCCTAACAAATTTTGGATAGCATAGTCCGTCCTAAGCAATTTAATCTTTCTTTGATATGTTAGCCCCACCAGTCCATATGAACGTTCTACACAATGATTCAATCAATTGTACGACTTTCTTTTGTAGGACAAAAACTTGCGACCAGAAGATTTGTATAGAGAATAATACAGATTTTATCAAATGCACTGGTCCGACATAAGATAAGAATTTTATAGTCCAGGGTGTGATTTTTTTCAGCATCCTGTCCAACAATGGTTTAAATTGCATCATATTAGTTTTTTTGGAACTCAGTGGGATCCTCAAATACCTGAAAGGCAACTCCCCTTTTAAGAACTCTGAGGACTGCAAGATGGCAGTTTGATCTTCTCTACATACTCCTACAAAATAAATGGAGCTTTTCTCAGCATTCGCAGATAAACCAGAGGTTATGGAAAACTCTTAAAAATAATCAAACATTATTTTAACAGATATATAGTCTCCTCTACAGAAAAACAACAAATCATCTACAAAACCAAGATGAGTTATATTCAACTTCTCACATTTCGAATGGAAATTAAATCAGACTATCTTCTCAGAGTCTTTAATTGCCTGTTCAAATATTCCATAGCCAATGTCATGCCACTTTTTTCACACCCCGAAAG